ACATTTGATCCTATTAAGTGATTTCTAAGTGGCCAAAAATTGAGCGAACGTTTTGTCTGACGACTTATGAATACGGATTTATATTTATCGTTATTAACATTTTTTCTTATGGATTTTTAATTTATCTTTATTTATAAAATATTGATTAATAAATAATGATTTTTTTTAGATTAAACTGACTTCTCAAAGAAATGTATGATTTTAAAAAATATAATTGATTGAATCTTGTCATCCATCGAGGAAATCGACATTGTTGAAGATAATCATATCTCATCGGAATCATTCTATAAGATGTATATAACAAAAAAAGACACATTCTTAATTTTAGTTATAGATTCATTTAATCAAAATGTATATCTCAAATAAGTGATGGTATGTCTTTGAGCTTACTTCAACCAGATATAAGGATCAACTTTGTTATTCTTGATTTTTCATTGTTAGCTTTTCTTATCTTCGCTGTGTTCAATTTTCTTCGATATATTTCCTAAATTTGATCATTTTCTATTTAATAGTAAAATGGTAAATAAAATGAACTTGAACTTAGTCATTAATACTAATATTGTTCTTTTCTATAGGTGATTATTACTTTGATAATTTTCCAACAGAAAAAATTCTATGTAATCATAACATACATGGTGAATCAGCTTCGAGTGGCATCTATCATTGAAAAAACGGTCATATCAGAAATAAATATTGGTTTTTTTCCTCCCGTTCCTTATTTACTAATGAATCATCTTAATAGCTGATGACGTTTTTTAAATATATTGATGAATATGAAATCTTTTTTTAATAATTGCATCATATGTGTGCATATAATATGTCGAATCTAAGTTTAAAACGTAAATTAGATTCGTCTAATGAAATTAGTTCAGTGCCAAGTCGTTCTAAACTGTTAAATGATAAATTATCTCGTCGTCCTGATCGTCATCAGTTAGTTGAACAAGGAATATTACATGATTCTCAATGTGCACCAAGTCTTCAACATGCTGAACATGCTCTTAAACGAGCTCGTCTTGCAGATGAATTAAATAATCGTCTTGTTAATCGTCCTGGTCCATTAGATTTAATTCAACATAAAATTCTTCATATTGATACAAACGAATATCCAAATTTAGAACAAGCTATTCAAGGTTATTTATTAATTAAAAAACTCAATTAATTATTTAATTTAAATTTTTAGGTGGTCAAATTCCATTTAAAACCGCAGCATCACATCGTCGTCCACTTATATTTCATGAATATACTGGTTCACCAATATCATCAAAACCAAAAGTAACAAAAATCGATTCACTTTCATCATCTTCTAATGCACATCAAATACGATTAGCACAACAACAACTTCTTCTCGAATTAACATCAAATAAACAAGATGAACAACAATCATCATCATCATTATTACATAAAAAAACGCTTGAACAAATGACACTTGCTGAACTTCGTGATTTATGTAAACAATGTCAAATTCCATCATCTCATGCTAATAAAACAAAATTAATCGAACGAATTAAACAAATACAAAATAAATTTAATGATCAAGGTAATTAAACATTTGTTTTTTAATATACAAAAACAAATTAATTTACTTTTTAAAATCAACAAAAAATACATTATCTAAAACTTCTGAACCTAACGTTTTAAGTGCATCTCACGTTAAGTTGTGACAAATTGGTTGAACTTGATTGTTAAGTATACTTGACAGTTTTCGTTAAAAAAATTTCAATTAAAACTGTTTTCGCAAGGGTAACTTATTTAGCATGTGGCATCGAATTAACAGTTTTTCTTTTTACTTAACATGATAGAAAATATAGCATTACAAATCAAACAAGATGAAATATTTCAAATATTATACTTTATGCACTAGTTCACCGTTATTTATAAACAAATAGATGGTATCAATTTATTTTTTATAATTAAAAGCTAGTTAATTTAAATGATATATCTGCTGCTATTGACGAAGAAACTGTTCCAAATGATTCAAAGCTACTGGTTTGATATTTTTTGGCATCAATAGGATCTAGTGAAACTAGAAAAAGTCTAAAATGATAATGATTCATAGATTATTCTTGCTGAATGATGACCAATTTACTAAGTTTATCACCTAGTATAACAAGAGATTTTCCGAACCTATAAATCTCATGATTCTTATATCATCCTAAATATGACAATCAAAACAATTGCTTTTTTCTCAAGATAGTGAACTTTCGTAACATGTGCTACCATGAGGACGTTTCTCGAAAACTCCATGTCTCAAGAAAGAAACATTCGTTTTGATTGTAATATTTGCAGCGATATAAAGATCATGAGATTTATAAGTGGAGAAAATTTCAGATTGAAATTGTATACTTTGAATTTTCGGTAAATCTCTTGTTATACTAAGTGATAAATCTAGTAAAATGGTCGTCATTCAGCAAGAACAATCTATGGATCAATATCCTTTTAGACTTTTTCTAGTTTCACTAGATCCTACTGATGCCAAAAAATATCAAACCAATAGCTTTGAATCATTTGGAACCGTTTTGTTCATCAATAGTAGCAGATATATCATATAAATTATTTAGCTTTCAATGATAAATACTAAACTGATATTGTCTATTTGTTTATAAATAGAGATGAATTGGTGCATAAAGTATAATAATTGAAGTATTTCATCTCGTTTGGTTTGTAATGCTATATTTTCTATCATATTAAGTAAAGAGAATAATTGTTAATTCGATGTCACCCGTACATTTAACAGTCGAATTCAGTCAACTTGTCATAATTCAATGCAAGGTGCTCTTAAAACGTTAGGTTGAGAAGTTCTAGATAATGTTGATTAAAATGAGGATTTGAAATCTAACAATGAAATATTGACTGATGTGTCGATTTTCAAGATAGTCTTTGATGATCTCTTAGGATTTTTTTTTTGAGTTTGATGGATCTATTGTGATGCTAGTCAAAAGGTTGTTAGAGTGAGATGTACATATTGATTGAGTATGTGTATAGGTCCTATGGTCTAGCGGTTAGGACATTGGACTCTGAATCCAGGAGCCCCAGTTCAAATCTGGGTAGGACCTTTTTTTTTCTTTCTTTCCTGTGAGTACATATTTCGACGTAACGTGAAGAAGGAGAAAGCCAAAGAAACTTTCTGTTCTCTTTTTCTTTTTTCTTTGATTCTTTCTTTTGATGAAAAAATTCTTTTCTCATTCAAACTAGAATTTAGAAATAATTCTATTAAAATAAAGGAATTTTTTTTAATTTAGATGTATCAGTATCAAAAGTAAATTCAAATGAATTATCAAATGCTGATATAATCGCATCATTAGAAATCTCAGATCTAAATGAAGAAGGAGTTGAACCATTATCACCATCAGAATTAGATGAAATTCTTAAATATTTTCCAACAACTTCAATTAGTCAAGGAGAAGAAGACGAAGAAGGAAAGTCATCAAATGTATTTGTTGATTTTGATTTTCAAAATTCATTAATTGATTCTCAAACAATAAATAATGATGATTTATTTGTACAAATGTTACTTGACAATGATTATTCATCATCATCAACAACAGAAACAACATTTGATGATTTATTTTTATCAGATCTTTTAACATCTTCTTCATCATCATTATCTTTGTCTTTACCACGAATAACAAGTATTGATGAATTTGATGCATTTTTACGTGATTTTACTCTTAATCTTTCATCACATAAACACGAAGTTTCAACACCTATTAGTTGATTTATATAAAAAAAAAAGAAAACAAAAACAAATAAACAAAAAAATATTAATTTAGTTGTAAAAGTAAAATGAAAACTGAAATCTTATTTTTTTTTTCCTTTTTTTTGTGTTGTTTTTGACAAAACAATTAAAATCCTTTATTATTTTCTATTTTTCTTTATTATAAAAAATATTTTAAAAAAAAAGTTCTATAGTTATTTTATCTAAAAATATTTATCTTCATTAATTTAAGATTAAATTTTAAAATTCTTTTTTTTTTCTTTCAACGACAAAACTTTTAAAAATAAATCATTTCAAATATATTTTATTATTTGTATTTCAGATCAATTCTATTGTCTAATATATTCTTTTGCAAATTTCTTTAATTAAACTGATTTGAATAATTTTTTATCTATTTTAATATATGAGTCATTCAAGTATTTGTCATATATTGAAGTATACATTAGAATTCTCAATTGATCGAACTAGATCAATGAAAATTGACTCTTGGACAAGTCTATGAATACTTAGCTAAGTTGAATCTATATATCATTAACGAATGAAAGTCTTTTGTCTCATATTAATCATATGTAGGATTTGTTTAAATTTATTACAAGGAAGTTATAGTTATTAAGAGAATGAACTCTTATTTTGACAATGAAATCAATAAAATGATTGAATAAAATAAAAATTATTTCTGAAAGATGCGAGAGAATTTGATTATTAATGATATGTGTATTCTTCATTTACATTGAAAATGATCGTTAAAACTAAATTAAGATTGGACAAATAATTGTTATCAAATATTATTTGAAAAATAAAAGAGGTCAACTTATTTTATTAATTGAAACAATTTTTATTTAGGTATTCTTCCGTCTAAATCAAGTATTATTATTTCATTTGCTTTCTTCGATTTTTTTTTCTCTAATCTCGAATTATCTATCTTGTGATATATCAGTAGAGTATAAAAATAAAATGATACCTTTCAAAAAGAATAAACATTATAGATTTATTTACTTGGAATATTTAGTTGAAAAAAAGACAATTTCTATTCAAAAATCAATCAATGGAAATTTATCATAAAAATAAATTATCTGCAGTGAATCTATTCTATAGACTAGACAAGAATAATTTATAAATTTAAAATCAAAAGAATTTCCACTTATTAAAGAAATGTTTGAAATTTATATTGAAAAATTAAGACAGCTGTCTTTACTTGAGATGATAATAATTGAATAAGAGATTTTTATTTTTTTTTCTTATTTAGATGTAAAATAATAATAAATAAAGAGATAAATGATAATTAATGCATACATATTTCGAAGAACTTCCAAATGAATTAATTCTTCATATATTTAGTACTTATTTCGATGGTGTACAATTATACAAAAGTTTTTTTGGACTTAATTCTCGTTATGATCATTTAATAAAATCAATAAATAATATTCATCTTCGTCTTGAATATCAAGATGATGACAAAAGTCTTTATTTATTTTCTACAAAAGTAATTAGTGTTTATATTGGTCAAAAACATCGAAGTATTAATTTTATCCCATTACTTATCAATGTACGATCAGTAACATTAGTTGATCCAACAATAATACAAATAATTAATTTATTAGATATAGGTAAAAATCTTGAACATGCATCAATAATATGGTCAAATCCTTATTTAATAAATTCAATGAGTGCTCGATCATTTTATGAATTAATATTTAGTGCAAGTTCATGTGAAAGCCTTCGTTCATGTAGACTTTATTTACCTAAAAGTCATTCCTTATATTTAGAACCAAAACATTGTACATTACTATTATTATGTTCTATTTACGTTCAATTATCAATTCCTTCAGTTGATTTTCGTCGTATAATACGTTTATGTCCGAATTTAATTCGACTTGAAATTGAAATTATTGATGATACTGACAGTAATGAAGAAAAAATTATTGTTTTAAGTCACTATCAACATGTAAATATTCGACGATTTCATATATATAATTTATTATCACTTGATATATTCGATATATTAATGGGATATATACCAAATATAGAAAACATATATATATCAATGAAATTTCCATCACATCCAATTGATGTATTTGAACAATTATCAAGTATAATTAATCGAATTGAACATTTAAAAGAATTTCATTTTCATTTTACAACTGATTTTTGGAATTTAGGTCAACATCAATTAGAAACAATTAAACAAATGAATCCTTTTTTTTCGAATATTTTAATCCAGAATGACGATGATGAAATCATTTTTATTAGTTAAGAAAAAAGATTCGTCGAATTCTATTTTGTTTTTATATTTTATTTTTGCAATAGATTTAAATGAATAGTTAGTTATTTTCATTATAGATTTTTATTGTTTTTTGTTTTTTTTTGATAAAATGCCTTCACGTTCAAAAAAAATTCTTTCACCAATACCTTCAATACCAAATGATGAAAAAAATATAACTGATCTTATTAGACAAGTAATTTTATTTTAATAAAATATTTAATAATTAACAATAGAATTTAGAGTCAAACAATATTTTCTTCATCAAATCAAAATGATATTAAATCATTATGTGAACAATTAATTGATATATTAATAATATCATCATCAACTGATCCACCAAATACATCTTTAAGAAAATGTGTTGTCAAGTTAGATTTATTTAAATAATATTAAAATAAAATAGAAAAGATTTTTATTCGAATATTTAGAGGTTTTTCTCATTTACCTGAAAGTCAATATGAAAATGTTCTTGATGAATGTACAAAACGTTTAGAAGAATTTTTCAAAAGACAAGGAAAAGAACATAGACTTGAATATATATCTATGTTAAATTATCTTATTGAAAATTTTCCATTTGGTTATTTGAAATTTATTAAATTTTAAAATTTTATTTTAATTCAAATTTTAGTTTTTAGGTTTAGTTTGTATTTTGAAAATAAAAGATACAAGTTTGTTTTTTATATTCATAAAAATATTTTATTTATGTTGAATTTTTAGTTTGTAATCAATTGATAACAATTGGTCAAGAACTTTGGTCTGATATACAGTAAGAATATATTTTTCTGAATTTCATCGAAATGAATAATTCATTATGTATGCAATTTGTTTAACACTATTTTACGTTCTATGTTGACAATATGTATCTCTATATGAACTTAAAATCAAAGTTTAATCGAGCTTAGAAATGTAATTTTCCTATAGTGAGCTGTGATTTAATCTCTCGTTGAACGGATAATAGATTTCTTATCTGTTTGTCTTTCTCAATGTATAATAATTCTACTAATTCGAAGGATAATTATTAAGAAATTTTTAGTCCTAGATGAGCGTACTCATAGACAAATAACGAAATCCAACTGAATCATTCTTTATAATATTCTTATCAATTTGTCTGCTGGAAACAATTTATTAAATTAATATTTGAAGATTTGTTGAATGTCTTTGTGTCTGGTCTAATTGACATACATTGAAAGATTGTTTATTAATTATTTTCAAAAGTTCACTATCTTTTTCTCTTATATTGATATCTCGAAATTGATTTATCAATTTAAAAATAAGCATTGACTCAATATTTAAAATCAGAGAAAAACAAAATTTAACTAATGAACAAACTTGTCGAGTTATTATAAATACCCAAGAGAAAGAAAAGATTAATCTAGATTAGAATCAAATTACATAATTAAAAATTTGGAATTCTTTGTCGATGATTTTAAAAAGAATGAAACAACTCTAAAGATATTTAAGTTAGAATAGAAGAAGAAAATCTATGTTTAATTATAATTATATATTATTTTCTATATTTATAAAATAAAATCTAATAATATAAAATTTAGATCAACAAATGTTCCACATCATCGATTTAATCTTTTTCAACAACTTCAATATTATTTAAAAGTTATTGTTTTTCTTTTACCTAAAGTTCATGATGAACTTGAACAAGATAATATTATATCTCGAATTATTCATCAAATGCTTAACGATGGTTTGTTTATTTGATTTAAATAAAAACGAAAAAGAAAATTAATCTTTATTTAGAAAACACGGTAACATTAGAAATTCGTTTGACATGTTCATTAGTTTGGCATCTTTTGAAAGATAATGAACAATTATCACCTCATGAAAAAGTCATTTGTTTATATTTGTATTAAATTTCTATATGAATATGATCTGTTTATTTATTATATTATAGTTAAATCAAATGAAAAAAGTAACTTGTGTGATAATGTCTCGATTAGCATTATATTTTGGTTTAATAAAAACAACAATGACAAATCAATTACTTGATACAAATTTTTTTGTTCAATTACTAGAAGAAGTTCTTGCCTTTAAAACGTTTGCTTTTTATTTTAAGAAAAAAATTGTCTTTTTCTAAATTGATTTTGTTTTACTATTGTAGATGTGATGCAACAATTATGGTTGGAGTATCAAAAGCATTAGAAACTTATTCTGAAGCTTTAACGTAAAATATATTCTCAATTAAAAACCAATATATAAAAGTTATTATTATTTTTTTGTTTTAGTTCTTCATGGCGTAATCTTCATACAGCATCATTAGAAAATATAATTCAAAAATTATTAACTTTTGCTTGGGATCATTTTAGTTACAATGTTGAAGTAATGAATATTTTTTAATAGAAAATTTTTTATTTATTTTTATTTTAGACTGTTAGACATTGTTCAGCAAATATTTATTCAAATGCTTTCAAAATAAGCATGAATCATTGTATGTATATTTATATATTCAAGAAGGAAAAAACAAAAATTTCATTTTTCGAAAAGAATAGAAAGTTCTAATCGATTAAAAGGTTTCGTATATATCTTAAGACTATCGAAACGAAGTCAAATAGATCTGTTTTTTAGTTCTCTAAGTATTACGAGGAATTTATAATAATTATAAGAGATCAATTTCAGATTCAATAAAAGTAATTCAAATTAGTTAAAAGCTTCTCAAAAAATTGAGAACATTTATAAAAATGAGAAATGTTTATTTTGATAAGATAAATACTTAAAGAAGAAAGTCAATTGTTCAATTTCGTATGAAACAAGAAATTGGTATAATAAGACATCCTCATCTCATACAAGTTGTACTTTCTGTAAAACATGAGTTCGAATAGTGAACGTTTGAAAATCTATTTGTTAATAATAAAATGCTAATATAATAGGTGATATTCGTCAGTCAATAATTGATTCTCAATTAACATTATTAAAACAACTTCCATGGCAAAAAGATGGATGTTCATTAGCTTATCATACTCTTCTTGACTATTTATCTGTAAGTGATATTATTAAATGGAATTCCAAATTAGCTGAATCATGTCTTATGGCTATGAATGATCGAGGATTAGCATCAGAAGTAGGTTAATTTTTTCTTTTTTTTATTAAATATTTTTATTTTAATATAAATATATATTTAAAGGCAAGTTATCTTTATTGTGTTTTATGTCATAAACATCGTGAAGAAGAAAAATCAATAGATAAATGGAAACAAATTTGGTTAAAACCAGTCATTGATGCACTTGATACATCAACACCATTACATCGATTTCTTATTGCTGAAGTAGATCAATTTTCTTTTCCAAATGTTTTATTAAATTTATTAAATATTTTTAGTATATATTACCAAAAATTCTTAAAGGTCATCCAGAATATTTACAAGAATTAAAAGAAATAACAAGTTAGTTTTGAGAATGAATTTAATTTTTTTAAATAAAGTTATTTTTCTGTCTTAATAATAGTTAATCCTCGAACATTAATTGTTTGTACACGTATTGGTCGAACATTAGGTTTATGTCCAAATATATTTTCATCTAATCCATTTATTGAACATGATTTAATTCGTCAAGGAATAACAAGTGAAGATGAACAAGTATGTTAGAATATTTTCTTTTATTTTTATATATATTTTAAAATATAAAATAATTTAGATTTGTCTTGATTGTTTATTTATTCTTTGTGAAAATCCAAAAACAACAGAATATATAAGTCAAATAGAATTTGAATTAATAAAATATTTTCTTCAAATGAATATTGATAATGGTTCAACATCATTTAGAAATCAAGTTTTATCTTTACTTAAAAAAGTATTTGTAATAGATTTTTTTTTTCTGTTTTAACATATTGAACTATTGATCTTTGTTTGTTTTTTTTGTTAGCATTTTATTCGCATAAAAGATAGTTGGTTATTGTGTGCAAGACAAAAATTAAAAAAAACTGATCAAGATTTTGATGATTTAACAGAACGATATAGAGTTTGTTTTTGAAGTTTTTGATTTTATTTATTTTTTAATAAAATTTTATTTTATTAAGAATTATTTAAAATGGTTAATAAATTGGTCTTGTTCGAATTTATATTTGGAAGGATCTTATTCTCAACGTCATTTATCTATTTCAATTCTTCATTGGTTAATTCATTTACATGGAAATCAAGGAATAGAAACTATTTGTCGTAAGTTTACTCTTGATTTTATTTTGATAAATGAAAAAATTCATTTATTTTTCTCTAAAGAAAAATTAAAACTCTACACATTTATTGAATTAATCTATAAAAATTCAATGGAATATTTATTCAATTGTTTATGGGATACATATGAAGATATACGTCAATATTCTCTTGATATAATTATTAAATTGAATGTAAGTTTCTATTTCTTTCATAAATAATCCATTTAGTTAAAGATTCAATTGTTTTCTTTGCATAAATTTGTTTAAACCAATGATTAGGAATTGAATTATAAATAGCTCCACTTATTTGTAAATAAAGTGTTAAAAGAATTGTTTCATCTGAATCAAAAGGATTTAGATATTTGCATTCTTTTGGTTGGCTGGATTTTTTTTCTAAAGCACGTTGAAGACCTTGTTCAATATTATTATTATCATTTGAAATTAAATCAATTAAATCAAAAAAAATTTTATTTATAAGATCGTTTGAATTTTGTTTTAATTGAATTGATTGAAGAATATCATGTTTTGAAACACCATTAAGAGCATTAACAAGTAATTCAATATAAGCAATAAATACATCGATTGGTGCTTTTCTTCCAAACATTCTTTTAGTACAATCTTTTATAATTTCAATACGTTTTGAATATGAATGTTTTGAATAGAAATAACCAATTGGAGACAATCGAAGTAATGCTGCAGGTTTTGATGGAATATCAACTGTTTTTTTATCGATATCAACTTCTATACCTAATGCTTGAGCTGCTTGAGTTTCACCAAATAAATCAATCGATTTTTTAAGATGAATACGTGGAGTAAAACAAAGACCTGTTGGACACATATAACTAAAATTTTATTCATTTGTATAAATTGAAAAAATAAAAATACTTAATTGTTTTTACCCATTCATCCACCATTGAAAATATCTTTGTAATAAATGTTCTTGAGAATATTCTCCATGATGAGCTAAACTTGCTAAAAAACATAATGTTAGTGAAACATCATCAGACCAAACTAAAGTTAAATCATCTTGTTGTGAATATTCTTTTTCCATTTGAATATGTTCAAGTATATAAGGATCTATATGATGTGATAAAAAACTTTCTCCTAATGTCATTGCATAAATTGATGATAATAGACGTGAATCATTTTCATTAGAATCATATGAGGGTGGATCAATAGGAGACATTGAATTTGGACGAACATTTAATTCAATAATCCAATCTTTATTGGAGCATTCAGACGACATTACGTTGTTCTTTTTCTTAGTGAAATATAAATCCAACGTTTTTGGTAAAATAAAACGAAAAAGAAATCTATTCGTATATTTAGAATAGATGCAACGATAAAGAAAAAACACGTTCTCTTTTTTTTTCTTTTCTGTTTTTTTTTTTTTGTTTTTTAAAAAAAAAGGTCGCTACGAATTATAATGACCTTCGAATTCGAACATTATTTGATCGAATATTACAATTATTATCCAGTACACAACCACCTGAAACAGCAAGTGGTGCAACACTTGTTCAATGTATTGCACAAATAAATGATCAAAATTTTCGAGAATTAATTAATTATGATAATAATCAACAATATGATCAAATTTATTTATTAATTAATCATATAACGAAAAGATTAGATAATGAAGTGCAACAAGCAAATATTAATTTATTTCAAGCTGCAAAAAATGGACCTATGTATGGTTGTTTAAGTGGTATTAATGCACTTTTAACAATTATTCAGGGTGACAAGTAATTAGACGAATTTTATATAATATAATATGAAAATAAAAAGTCTTTTTTTTTTTGTTTTTGTTTATTTAGATATGAAAATGAACAACAAATAAATCAATGGAGAATTTTATTTGATCATTTAATTGAATTATGTTTAGAAATAGCTTTATTAACTAGTCCAATAGTTAGTTCATCATCACCTGAAGGAATGATGCCTATGGAACTTACTGACAGTTTGTTATTTATTTTGTTTTTTCTATAATTAAATTTTATTTTATTTTTTTGTATAGTTAGTAGAAAAGTTGATGATGGAAATTCTAATGGACAAATAACATCTCAAATGTTATTAGTATGTTGTTGGAGAACAATTAAAGAAATTTCATTATTATTTAGTCGTTTGGGACAAATTGGAATAAAATATATTCAAAATGAAACTCAATATCGATTTATTTCATTAAAACAAGTTTATTATTTTATTATCAAAAAAAAAAAATTATATATTTATTTATTTATTTTTTTTTCGTTTAGATTCATATTATATGTGATTATTATATGGAACAATTATTAAAATCTCGTCATTGTGGTGCATATGAATTAGCTTATACAGGTTTTCTTATTATTTGTGAACAACTTTGGAGGTTAAAAGAATTTTTATTATTTGTATATATATATCGTTTTGTTTTAAATTTAATATTTTAGTTCAAATTGTAATGAATTATGTAATTTACCAATAAAATGGATTGAAAATGGAATAAAAATGGTTGAAGAAAATAGTCTTGATAAAAATAAATTATGTTTAACACGACGATCAGGTGGTTTACCTTTTTATCTTCAATCAATATTAACTGATGAACCAATTAAACAACGTGGACAACAAAGAACATATGTTGCAAAATTAATGGAAACTTTATTAAATATTATACAAAATGATCCAGATACATTACAAATTGATGGACAAATTTTAGAAAATAGTCGAAAAGTATTTATATAATACATTGAAAAACTTTTCTTTATCATAGTTTATTCTTGTGAAGAATAAATTTTCTCTCAATAGTATTACATATTACAAGATATTGACAAGAGTAGAGTACTCAGAAACGATAGACACTGTATGCATGAGTGAATATGAAGTATAAAACGTAGTAATCTTGCCGTGAAATATAGCTAATGAATTAATCATTAAGATATTTGTTTTTGATTTTTAATACTCTATGAATAAATTTCGTATGTTCAGATCTGTCAAATGACTTAACCTGTACTTTTAGTTAATTTATTTAAATTGATTTTTGTACGTAGTAGATTTTTAACACATTGTTACGAATGCAAATAGATTTGGCTATTTGTTAAAAGATATATTGGTCGTAAAAAGTGTCGTTACCAGGTAAAAAAAAATACTTCGAATCGATTCGCTTGGTCTCATATTTTTACTAGAAACCAAGCACAGTAAACCTTGATTGTAATCATCCATCAGAATTTGATCAACCTCGACGTCGAGATTCTAGAAGATTAATAGAGATTTTTTCTTTAGCATAAGAAATAAATCCTATGATGTTTGATCTTTCGTTCAAGAACTCAGTACTGGTCCTATCACTAAAAAAAAATATGTAAAATGTTTTTACTTATGAATTAATCTTTTCCGAAATATCGACATAAGAATTGATGGAATTCATTGAAAAGTGAGACGCATATTTTCAACTAATTTAAACAAATTACCTTGAAAATTGCCCCATCGAGTACTCTAATTTAATCAAGTTTTAGGTGAAAATTTCACGATTGCAATAGAGAACAGATCTATGTATCTAAGGATTTCAGCGGAATTGGAATACTTTATCAATGACCTTCTTAATAAAAAAAATCGATGTCATTGCATCAAAATAGTGTATAACCAGAAAATTATTAAAATAAACCTTTTTCGAGAACCCCGGAAAAAAATCAATATTTTCATCCTAAATTCGTTGTATTAAAGCTGATTGATCTTACATGGATGTTTGACATCAGGATTTATCGAACTCTATTTCTAGTCAAAATATCAGACAAAAAACATTGAAGTTTATGGAGTTCTTCCCTGGTAATGCGGCTTCTTGAGACTTATGTTAGTTGTTGTTTGGTTATGTAAGAAACAATGAACACGATCGAAAAATTCCTATAAAACAAAGAATCGAATGCAAAAAAATATTCGTAGTTTTTTATATAGTTGAATTAAATGAATTAAAATTGTTAATAGATTCACGCATACAATACGGTTCGTTCATTTTATCGTAATCAACGATTTGCAAATGATGTCTATCCATATATTGAGCGTGGTCTTCATTTATCAATAACTGGTTTTACATCATCAATATGGATGATAAGAAATAGTGCAACATTATTATTATCAACAATAGTTCAAAGAATATTTGGTCCATCGAAAACAAAAGATGGAGAAGAAAATTTATCGAAAAAAAATAGTATGACATCAAGAGAATTTTTTAATAAATATCCATCATTATTTCATTTATTTTATCAACAATTACAACAAACAACAAGGTTTCTTTTTTTTTGTTTTCAATTTGAATAAATAAAAAATTTAAATAATACAATTTGATTATTTATTTGTTAAGTACTCGTTCATCAATTGAATCATTATCATCATCATGTTTATTTGCTATACTTTTAATTCTTCGTCGTCTTTATCCAAGTCCACTAGATGGAATTGATTGTTCATTAACATTAGATAAACTTTTACCATTTGTTATTAAGTAAAAAAAAAAAAAGCGTCTCATTTTTTTTTTCTAAGTTGATTTTAATCTAAAATTAATATAGATGTGAAGAATCTCCATTATTACGAATACGAGAACATTCATCAAAAGCTCTTTTAGCTTTAATTCATCGGGATCAATATTCAACTATAATTCATCAACAAATAAATCAATTAATGAAACAATCAAAGGATAAAATTAGACAAAATACTCTTCATGGTCGTTTATTACAAGTATTTAATCCATCATACATTTAATAAATTCAACTTTATTTTTGTTTATTTATTTAGATAAATGCAATATTTCATTCAATGAAAAAGAATCATCTTCAATTTACTTTTGATTCATCATTTAGTTTAGAAGAAATGCTTTCATCACTTCAATGGTGTATCTATGAGTTAGTATTTTATTTTTGTTTGTTTCCATTTGATTAGATACCTTTCTTTTTCTATGTTTTACCGTATACAAACAATAAATAAATGATATTAACAAAAATAAAAAAGTCGATTGAGAAATTCATAGATTATTCTTATCAAATTTTAATCTAGGAATGATAAAAAAAATCTTTTTTTTGGCAGCTAAGCTCATTCATTCAATTTCGTATATTAAAAATCAAGGAATTCTTTTCAAAATGAATTTAAAAAAGATGCATATAAATGATGTCTAGAGAGATTGTAAAATCTTTTTATTAATAAAAAATATCTTTGAAAAAAAACAGAGTCATCTCGCCTAAAAATAAAGAAAACATAATATAATATCATTAGCAACTTCAAAAAAAAGACTATTTACGATAGGTTTTCCAAGCACCTCGATACTTGTTTTCTAATTGACTAATACTGAGATACACAAATCAAAGACAAAAGATAAATTCTATAGGAAATTTCAAATCTTCTAATGCTCTATTTTCCATATTGTGTTCTATTCGATCTATTTTATATTGATAAAAATGAATAAAAACGTTAAAAGGAATATTGTCTATTATTAATTATAGAAATAATTGTTCATTAACACAATATTGTTATTTGGAATTCTTATACAATATTCATTATCAAATTAGTTCGAATGAATTAAGAAATAATATAAATGAATATATAAATAATATTCTAAAAAATGGTGATAAAATAACAATTGGAAGTGATGATTTAACTCGTATATTGACTCGTTTAATAATTCATCTTGAAAATATTCAAGTTCAATTAAAACTTTTCATTTTTGTGGAACAAACTCGAACAGAATTATGTTTTATTGAAACACTTTTATTAGAAAATAATTTATCTTTATTTGAAAATAATATTCGACAATGGATTATAGATTTATTATTAACTATGGATTTATTTAATGAACAACTTTATACAAAGGTAATGAAGATATTTCTTTGTTTATTTAAATCCTACAAAAAAAAGAAAGAAAGATTATTTTAGGCATGTGAATTACTTCTAAAAATGATTGATAAAACACATAACTATGAACGTTTAACTAGACGAATCGTTGAATTAATTGAAAAATTAAGACGGTAATTAAATATTTATTAAAATTAAATTTAAAAAAAAAAGATAAAGAAAAACTTTTCTCATTTAGTCCAATGAGTTTAGCAGCAAGTTTTAATTTAATTAGTGAATTATTACCTCTATGTTCATCATCAAAAAATAATGAACAAGATTTGATTGAACTTGTCTATGATCGAATGAATGAATTTGTTGATGATGAAAGTAGTGATGAATGTGCTTGTGCTATTCTTAATCTTCTTAGTAAAGCTCAATCATGTTTATATGATTCATTAAATGGTAAAAATTATTGGTTTTTTTTTTCTTTCAATTAATTTCATTTTGTTTTTTCTTCAGCGGAAAGTAAATGTCAATATTGGAAATTAATTTTGAAATTATCTTCATTTTCATCTGATATTGTTCGACAAACATTTATAAAAACGATTCCATTGATTATTAATGATAAACGTCTTTCAGGTTCTTTCAAGTTTTTTGACTTTTTTTTTTATGAATTTACTTTGTTCTAGGTGTATTTGGTGCTAATTGTTATTTGACACAAAATGTTTTATTTGAATATTTTACATGTGATGCATTGTTATATCCATCAAGTGATTTATTTGTTAATCTTATTGTGAATTTATTTAATGATCTACTAAATGATATTCATTCAAATGATGAAGATGAAGAAGAAATTAATTTCGATCGTCGTTTATGGCCATCATCTGAAGGTTATAATAATGTATTTGTATCTGAAAATGAAAGTTGTGATCATTATTGTGCTTGTTATGGACAACATCTTCTTTCTTCATTAGAAAAAATTCTAGAAAAATCTTCAACAATAAATATTAATAAAACAATTGATATGATACGTGATCAATGTAATCGATTAATTGATATTCAAATAGAAGCATTTAATCGATTTTTTATAAGACAAAGATCAACAGTTCGATTAAATCTAATGATCGAATTTCTACGTGTTACAAAATCAATACAAGGAATTAAATTAGAACAATTGCCTCAGCAATGGACATCCCATCATTAACAACAAGATCATTCCGTTGATTTAGTTTTAATTCAATTTTGTCTTGTTCTGGTTTTCTTTTACAAAAAAAAAAGAATTCAAATAAAAGAACGAACTGTGTTTAGCCAAAGGATATTGAAGATTCTTTTCATTTGATTGAAATTCATTTCAACATAAAATATCAGATAATTTGAAAATAAAGAAAAACTTATAATTTTTTCGAAGTTAATGTTTAGAAAATAGTTAATTTCACTCTGAGAAAGGCAGTGTTCTGAACTTTCTTCATTTCTCTCTTTAGATCAAGTGAAACAGCTTATACTAAGTACAATAAGAGTTTCAGTGAATATTGGCAAAAAAGATTAGTATTGTTATTTTTCTCATACTTGGACAGAATAAAATTGATATGTATTTTGTTCGAAAGTGTTACTCCCCCCATAATTTACTTACTAAAATAACAAAAGATCCACTATAAATTCTAATGTTGAAGAGATTAGCGATTCATAAGATTAACGTGAAAAACTGTAAATAAAGCTAAAGTGTCCACCATCATATCCATGTTAACGCAAAATTTTGGGTCATAGTGACAGATCAGATTTTGTAGAGCAAAATTTGTTCTGTACGTCTATAAATAACACTTTTCAAGGAAGTACTAAACAGGGGTAATTTCAGGACGAAACTATTATCATGATTAATCCATGTATAGTCATATATATTATTACTTGATAAAAATTTCCATGCTGAAATAATTCCTGTTTGGTACTTCCTTGAAAAGTATTATATATGGACGTGCAGAGCAAATTTTGCTCTACAAAATCTGATATGTCACTATGACCCAAAATTCTGCTTTAACAAGATATGAGGATGGGCATTCTAGCTTTATTTACACTGGTTTTATATAGAATTAGCTATTTTTCACGTTAATCTTATGAGTCGGTAATCTCTTCAACATTAGAATTTATAGTGGATCTTTTATTATTTTAGTAATTAAATCGACAATGCTCTACACGATTTCAAACATGAAAATCGATTTTGAAGAACTCGATGTGAACGTGTCACATATACGATGGAATCACCCATAGATATAATCACATTCAAAATAGTGATATTCTAATGTAATATGATTGGAATGGCTCGAATAATGATCATTATAATATTTATGATAATAATGATTACGGATCACCCATAAAGAACATCGACGGAAAACAAGGTTGAGATCAACCAAAGCGAGACATGAGGGAAGCGAATCATACACATTTCGATGTGTGGGTACTTATTATGATTGCTTCGTTGTTTGTTAAGCATTTTCATAACATTTTCAAGTCAAATGGGTATTGAGTAACATTCTCAAAAGAAAGACTTCTCAGAATTTAATGACGCATCATCTACGAATATATCACCTACATAAAAAGGTATATCAATCGTTCAACAGAAAACAAAAATTAGATTTGAATGAACAAAGTATTTCTAAAAAAATCTTGGAAAGTGTACATTCAGGAGGGAGGGCTCAGTCAAAGGCGAACATTTTCACATACGAATGAAGAGAAGGATCAAAAAATTGGATTTTCATCTAGACGTTCTTGACTAGTGGTCCTTTATATGAACTGTAACTCTACAGACGCTAGAGATTGTTTCTATTCATATTGAATATTAGTCAAATATAAAGTTGAATGTATATCATTGAACATCTCGTTACACTATGTTTCTTTCATTTTGGTTATGTTTTTCGTCTAGTTTTGGACGATTTCGATTTGAATTAAGCCATCAAATTTATTCTCAATAATAACTAATTGAAATTTTTTTTAACAAAACAAAATAATCATAACAATTTTTTTGTCAATAGAAAACAAAAAAACAAATAATGCAATAGAAAAACCCACTGTCTAATGTTGAATAATTCTGATCGAAAATTGTCAATTGAAAAAAAAACAATTTTAGTTTATGATGCAATCATTAAACAATTGATTGATTCCATTTGTTAGTTTTAATCTTAATTGTTCTAACGAATCCACAATCGAATATCATTGGAAAATCTTGAATCTTTTGCAAATGAACATGTTGATGGTAAACGTGCTTGTAACCATTTAATTAATTCATCATCATTTTTTTTTCTATCACGACAACGAACATTTAATGCTCGAAGATGATTCATTTTATTAACAAGATCAATTATATTTGTTCGTTTTTCAACTTCAATAACAAGGAATTCACATTGATTACCTAATGGTGAACGAATTAATGATGAACATTGTTGATCATTATAGTATTGACATTGACCAGAATGATTAAATCCTCGTAAATCAAGATAACGAACAGATGAACTTTGATTCGAAAATGGTGGCACTTTCCAAATGTTTGTATGTGAAGTCTAAAATTAACTTTCGAATATTAGATAGTAAAATATATGGTCAATATGAGAAATTTTACACAATATCGATGTATTCTTCTCTTAAATAATTAACAATGTGCATATGACTACGAGATTAATTATTATCGACAAGAGATTTTTAACTTTCTCGACTTGATGCGAATCTTTTATCAAGATTTTCTTTATCAAAGGGTGGTTTAAAATTCCTGAAGGGCGAACATCTATTTTTGGAAGCAAAGACACTATATGTGACAATATAAACATAAACTTCTAGATGACTAAGCTAATCTACAAAGAGGCATCACTTCCACGCAATAAATTAGTTCCGATCTTTAGTTCATGTCTTTTTCTATACTAAGATATGAAATGAATTGAAATCACCTTTTCTAAAATGCTATCTACATTTTACTAAATTTTAACGCCAATAAAATATAATCAATTGATGCACTTTCTCAGAGAATTACAAATTTTTTAGAGAAAAAATTTAAAACAAAAACTTTTGATAAGTGATTGGAAAAGATTGAATTTTGTTTAGATGATAATAATGATAATTA